AGCCTGAAACATTTACTGTCACTTTACAGAGTTTTCTGACCCTTCATCGTGATAATTTCTGCCTGCTCTGCCCAGCTGGTCTTGCTGCAGGCCGAGATCCTCACTCTGGTGGGACCCCATGTGAGCAGAGATCATCTACAAGGAACTTTGCGTTTTTCCTGTATCTTCCTTTTCAATACTAGGGCCATAATGGGCAGAGGGTGATATGTGAAGTGAACGCAGCGACCTGCAATTGCACTTAATGAAAAAAAAGAAGAAGGGAGGGAGGAAGGAAGGAAGGAAGGGAGAGAGGGAGGGAGGGAGAGAGGGAGAGAGGGAGGGAAGGCAAAACCACCCGAGTAAAAGGGAGGAAACAGGAATTTTTAGGTGTGATTTCTAAGAATGATAGTGACAGAATAGTCTAAATTTGGATTTTCTGAGGATGTATGCCTCAATTCTGGTAACTTTTTTTAAAGAGCAGCACAGTTAGCCTTCCTATTCATAGAGAAGACATAGGGATGTGTATTCACAAATAGCTAAAATTAACTAGTGCTATTCTGAAGTGAGGTTGAATAGTTATCTAAATTTAACAGTTCCTTTCAGTTTATGTAGGAGGATTTACTTGTGGAAGAAACACATCTATCTTAAGGCCTAGCCATTAAGCAATTCAAACCCAGGGCTTTGTCAGGGCCTTATACATGCTAGGCAAGTGCTCTACCACTGAGCCACACTCCCAAGCCCTAAATGATTCTGGAGTGGACTGGTATTTATGATAAATGCACATACACAGGGTCTGGTGGCTCAGGCCATCCTAGCACTCTGGGAGGCTGAGGCAGGAACACCACAAGCTGAAGCCCAGCCTGGGAAACTTAGTAAGACACTGTCTCAAAAATGAAGAATGTGCTTAGTGTGAAAATGCTGAATATCATGTCTAGTATTTAAAAAAGAAAAGAAAAATGTGCATGGCATATTTGATAAGTACAGCCAGATTTGCAAGATGGCCTGCAAAAATGTCCTCATAGGGGCTGGGAATTTAGCTCAGTGGCATAAGCACCTGCCTTGCAAGTGTGTGGTCATGAGTTCGATCCCCGGTACCAATAAAAAAGAAAAAGACAAAAAAAAAATGTCCTCATAATAACCAAATCTGCCCTCAGTAGCGCCTCACCTCCTGCAGGGAGCCAAGTTGAAGCCTTCTGCTTCTGGTCAAAGAACAGTTCTGCCACTGCAGTTGTCCTGATCACTAGATCATTTTATGCCCCCTCTGTCCCCAGCAAAGCATGCTTATATCTTTTATAGCAAGGTTTACTGGAAGACACTAAATTCATAAACCACTTTCACTTTCATTCTACCATATCACCTTTCCCAGGGAAACAAAACAAAAAAGAGCTGCCACGAATCACACAACTAATAAGCAATGAGGCCAAGATCTAACTGTACAACTTCGGTCCTTGATCTAGTGCACCTTCCCGGATAAGCTAGTGGTTAACAGTAAAACTGGACAGGCAGTGGGGCTCTGATTCTGCCTGAGAGGTCACTCTCTGACCTCATATGCAAGCCAGAACCAAACAGAAACTTTCACTCTGGCCATAGTGAAGTGATAAAGCCACGACACAGACATACCAAACCGCCTTATGGACACACTCCCTTAATGTTACCTTGTTTGCAGTGTTGAAAGATTAAAGTCTAGGCTGTCATGGTGGCAGATGCCTGTAATCCTAGTACTTAGGGAGCTGAAGCAGGAGGATCACCATGAGTCTGAGACCAGCCTGGGCTACATAGTGAGACCCTGTCTCCAAAAATAAAAGAAAGAAAAAGAAAAAAGTCTGGTCTAACATGATCAGGATCTCACAGGATGGGTTCATACAAGTGAATTCCCAAAAGATGCCCAGGCCTCATCACTGACAGTGACAGGCTTGTGAGTCAGATGAAGGGTGTGGCAGAGGCACCACTAGTGGTGGAGCCTGGGAGTAAGGGAGGGGACACAGAGGGGAGATGCCCCGGTGCAGGGAAAGATGGGCTGAGGAGTGAGCTCAAACAGGTCATTCTCTGTCACAGACATGGGATCATCCTGAGAGGGAGTTGCTAATGTCACTAGAGAGGCATCCTGAAAGGGTCAGCAAGAAGAATATGGGCCTGATGACTGGATTTGAGATCGGTCATCACTTGGGATTCACAGGTGGCAGACAGGCACATGCTGTGTGGTTACACTGAGGATGTCCCCAGATGCCTCGTACATGCGGGGCTTTAGGAGGTGGCAAGATGGGTGACTTGCTGTGGGAGGCAGGATCTGGTCAGAAGAGCTGGGTCACTGGGGTGTGACCTGGAAGTTTATGTCCCTTCCTGGCTCCTCTTCTCACTCTGCCTCCTGGCCACCATGCTCTGAGCAGCTTTCCTCCCCAGGGCCTTTCATCATGCTCTTCTCTTGCCAACCATGCACTGAAAACCTGGGCCAAAACAAATCTCTCCTCCTCCAAACTGCAGGTGTCAGGTACTGTACATCAGTGACAAAGACAGCTTGTGATGACTGAAGTCTGGATGAATAAGCACATTCGGGAAATGAGGGAGGAGATATGAGGGGAAATACCATGGACTGAGTGTGTCCTCTAGAATTCAGATATTGGAAGCTTAGTGGCAGTGTGGTCAGATTAAGAGATGGTAGGACCTTCAGCAGGTGGGGCCTCATGGGAGTTGGTTCAATCATTGGGGGCACAGACCTTGGAAAGGATTAAGATCATTCTCATGGGACCCAGAATTAGCTCTCTTAAGAACAGGTGCTATAAAACAGTGAGTCTTGGGGCTGGGGATTTAGCTCAGTAGCATAAGCACCTGCCTTGCAAGCAGGCAGTTGTGAGTTCGATCCCTGGTACCAATAAGAAGAAGAAGAAAAAAAAAAACAGTGACTCTCTCTGGACTTCCTGTCTTGTGACTACTCCTTCTTGAATGTGCCTGACCATGAAGCCATCCACCATTAGGTTATCACCTGTGGCCAGAATGATGGGGCTGCCTGATCTTTCCCTCTCCAAAAATGTGATTTAAATAAATGTTTTCTTTATAAAGAACCCAGTCTCAAGCACCTCATTATAACAATGAAAAACTACTCCAGGGCAGTGGCATCATTAATTAATGCTCAGAGTTCAATCAGAAGAAGTCACTGGGGCTGGCAGGATAAACTGAATTGTGAAAATTATTCCATTTCTTAAAATAAAAAGAAGAAAGAAAATTATTCCATTTCTATCACTGCTGTGGCAGCATACAATAATGAGCTTAAATAAAGTTGATTTTTGTGGAAGAGAAGTAAAAGACACTGTACCTAACTATGTGAGGTAAGAAGTGCCATACCAGAAGCCAGCCTAGGCCAAGTTTAATGGGTACAAAGTGTTGCTAGTGATTAATGAGATCTCAGAGACATACAGTCTGCCCAGGCTTGAAGGCTGAGCATGCTTCAGATGGCCAGAAGGGAGCATTCTGGATAGAGGATACACGAGCAAAGCTGAGAGCGTGACAGAACAGAGGATCCCAAAGATAGAGTGTGCAGGGCCAGCAAAAAAAAAAGCCAGAAAGGCAGACCAAACAGGACTATGATAAGCCAAAGTGCCATCCCAGGGAGTTCTTCCTTTGTAGGAAAGTCACAGACAGCTTTTGAAAACAAGCGAGACACTATTGTTTGTATCTGTGCTTTAGAGTACAGGTCAGAGCTCAGATGCCTAAGGTGCAGCATGGATGGTCAGAGGGCCCCTGCAATAGCCCAAGAAAGTGATGGTACCAGCCCAAACAGGGTGGTGATCCAGGGGAGAGGGAAATGGGACCAGGCAAGGAGTGATGGATGCCGCACTGAAGGTGTGAATCAGTCAGGAGCAGGCAGCACAGGCCAGAGACCTAAGGAAGTGGGAGGTGGCTCAGACAGGTGTCTATAGAGAGCTCCAGGTAGGAGAAAGAGGGGGCTCAAAGGTAGCAGTTCACAGCTGGGGTGCCTATACAGCTATAAATGCCATCATCCAAGAGAGAAGGATGCACATTTGCTAAGAGAAGTGTTTTATTTATTGACTTAAGATCTTACTTACAGTCGTCTGGTCTTAAACTCACTATGGAGCCCAGGGTAGACTCAAACCTGAGAGGTGAGCAGGCTTCAGATGGGCAAGGAGAGCGGCATTCTGGGTAGAGGACACGACATGAGTAAAGCTGCCTCGGCTTCCTGAATGCTGTTGAGAAGTGTTTTGGATGGAAAGGGCTGAGATTCCTAAGAGCTGAAGTTTTAAAATCACCTTATTGTCTGCTCTGGTTTGTACAAGTCCCCCACAGCCTCTTGCCTGCTTCTTGTCCTGATCTCAGCTTCTACTTTCCCTCCTCAGAGAGGCTTTTCCAAACACCAGGCTACGGGAGCTACCCAGGGGCTGGGGCCACTCAGTGGCAGAGCACTACCTAGCAAGTCCTGAGCGCCATACCTAGCTCGCAAAAACTCAAATGAAACCACCTGGCCGTCACATCAATGTGACATACCCACTGCACCCCACCGCAAAGCACTTGTCACTTGACTGTCGCGCGCTGTTTCGCCCCTCCTCTACCCCTTCAGCCCTTAAACATAAGAGCTCTGTCTCACGTCTGGCTCAGGTCTCACTTCCACAACCTAGGGGGCGTTCAACACAGGGCAGACACGTCACATCTGCTCGTTGAATAAAAAACGAGTGGCAAAAGTGAAAAAGAAACGAGAAACCTCTCCCCCGCCTGGCGGAAGCAGCTAAGACAAACTTGCAGCGCTGGAGGCAGAATCGTTCCCGGATTCAGACTTCCCACACCTCTCCGAGCCCGCAGCCCACCCTGTGCAAACATTTCCTGCAAGCTAGTCGCGTGTGGCTCCTCAGAGTCCCTACTTCAGTTTTTCACAGGCGCTCGTGGGGTCCCAGGCGGCCTCTCACAGAAGAGCTGAGCTCAAGACTGCAAGTCAGCCCTCGCGCCCAGCCGGCTCGCCGCTGTCCGTACAGGCCAAGGTTCGCCCCGCCCCCGTCGTCTCGGCAACGGTGAGCGACAGGTGCGCGCAGGCGCCGTTGGTGCGCGGGGCACGGCGGCCTCTGGGCGCGCGCTTCGGCGCGGCGTGGCACGCGGGGCTTCGCTGCTTGGCGCCGCTGTGATCACCTCAGTGCCCTCGGACCTCCGGGCGCCCGTTCCGGTCGGCAACTGATCTCCCCTGCGGCCGGGGTCGGGAGACGAGGCCACACGCTGCCGCGCGGTGGGACACAGGCGGCCATGGTAATCTTGCCCGCCGGACGGGGAGACTCCGGGGCTGACGCTGTAGGTGGGCGGGTCCGACCCGCTGAGCTGCGGAGGCCGGGGACCCAGTGGGGAGGACCCCGGGTCGCCTGTGGTTGCCGGCTAAGATGCGCCAGTGTGGGAAGAGGAATCCTCGCGGTGTGGAAGCCCAGGGCTGGGTACCGGACCTCCGGGAGCGCCCCCCCCCCCCCGGCTTCATCTGCCGCTGCCCTGTGGGAGTCTGCAGACTCCACAGGAGAAAGTAGCCGCGCGTGGTGGCGCCAGTAAACCCAAGCACTCTGGGAGACTGAGGATCGAAATTTCGAACCCAGCTTGAACAAGTTAGTGGTTTAACCAGACCCTTTCTCAAAAACCGAAAAGAAGGAGGACTCTGGGGATGAAACGCGGAGTTCAGTCCCCCAAAACAGGGATGGGGTAGAAAGTCTGCTCTGTTCCTCCCACCGAATTCACAAACATACCAGTCTCTCAGCCTTCACATTTGCGACCTCCTAGGTCCATTCTCCAATCTCTTGTATTTTATCTACCTATATATCTTTCCTGCTTAAGAAACCAAATAGACGTCCTGCAGTAGACCCATGTTCTAAAAGCTTCCTACACCTGATCCATCCGAAGCTATTGCTTTGTTTTGAGACAGGGTTGCACTGTGTAGTTTAAGGCTGGCCTTGAACTCACTTTGTAGCCCAGGCTGGTCTCAGACTTGTGATCCTCCTTCCTCCGTCTCCCAAGTACTAGTATCACAGATGTGCACCACCAGGCTCAGCTTGCTGTTCTTTTTAAGACTCAGCTCACAGCCAGGGATTTAGCTCAATAGGCATAAGCATTTTAGCTGAGCATGGTGGCTCACGCCTGTAATCCCAGCACTTGGGAGGCTGAGGCAAGAGGATCGTTGGAAGTTCGAGGCCAGCCTGGGTTACAAAGTAAGCTCAAGACCAGGCTAAACTGCATAGAGAGACCCTATCTCAAAAAGACAAAAAGACAAAAAAAAAAAAAAAAAAAAAAAAACCCTCACAAATCCCTCCTATTCCCTCTTGCTCAATTAAGTGCCGGTAGCCCTTTGAGCCTCAGTTTAAGGGGCTTTGCCTTGAAAGCCTTGCACCTTGCCCCATTCGATTGTGGTGTAGAAAGACATTTGGTAAGTCTCTATGGTCCTTCCAGTTCCTCAGTGTAGAAGTCCCAAGTACTCTTGATTTCAGTGGAGTTTTTCCAGAGTTACTTTATCTGGTGGGTACTGCTGTTTTCTTTCAGGACTGAGGGAATGGGAGCAGAATGGTTTACAAAGCCCTTTGAGTTAAGAGTTTCCCTCTGCTCCTCAGTTAGAGGTCCACCGTGGTAGTTAACAGTCTGCAGGCCTGACCTTGCCTGTCTTTCCCAACTAGCTCTTCCCGGTGGTCCCCTGGTTCCCAGCAGGCTGGCCATGCTGACCTTGTTTGCTTTCTTGGTTCCTTCAACTTTGTATTTTCAACTTCAGAGCCTTTTTGAGTTTGTTTGCCCTGCCTAGGAATTCTCCACCCTCTGCCCACTCTTCAGGGACCCTTCCCTGCTGTCCCTGTCCATCCTGTGCTGTCGTGTTGCCATGTACTCCTCGGCTCCTCCTTCCCAGCACAGTTGGTGAGTAAATGGTATTTGTGATTAGGTGACCGATACCTTTTCCCCTCAGTGGCCTGCCAGCATCACGAGCAAGTAACTCAGATCTGCTTTACTCTGCATCCAGTACAGGGCCTGGTACACTGCAGGTGCTTGTTAAATATTTGTTGCACAGATAAAGGAAGCATCTTGAAATCAATCCAGAAAGGCAGAAATCCATGTTTGTTTTCTAAATCCTTTCCTAGCATTGCATCTGAGTTGGAGTTTATTCATGAAATAAATATTTATTCATCTTTACTGTGTGCCAGATTTTGATCTAGAACAGGAAATTCAGTTAAAAAGTATAGACAAAGGATGGGGATTTAGCTCAGCAGCGTAAGCCCCTGCCTTGCAAGTACGGGTTCGTGAGTGAATCAATCCCTGGTACCAACAAAAAAAAAAGTATAGATAAAAACTCTGACTTGGAAAACAGAGAATAAATACATAAACAATCACTGTTAAATAGTGGAAAGTGCTTAAGGTAAGGAAACAGTAATACTGCAGGGAGGTTCTCAGGCGGGAAGACCATTGCTTGGATGGTCCTGGTTTACATTCATGTTAGTTGATGTGTCCTTATTTAGACAGTAAACTATATGGCCCCCCTCATTTTAGACAGAATAGTCACTGTGTCAGGTTTTTCTAGAGAGCAGAAGCCAGGTGGAAGAGAAGAACACAAATTATGTCCCTTTGACTGTGTATAAGGCCTTCTCTGAGAGAAGATTGTTAAGACTGGGTACTCGAAACAAGGCCAGAGCAGCCAGAGCCAAGTGAATTTGGCCAAGTTTAAGTTGAGACCTGTGTTCTGAGTCCCAGAACAGCCAAGAGCCAGCTGAAAGAATGGGAAGGGCCCAGAAACCACAGATGTTCACTCTGCTACCCTGTGACAGTTTACAGATTTATAAAGTATAATCAGTATGCAGAATTGGATAATCCCAGCATTCTGGGAGGCTGAGACAGGAGGATTGCTAGGAGTTTGAGGCCAGCCTGGGCTACAGAGTGAGCTCAAAGCCAGCCTGAAGTACATAGAGAAATCCTGCCTCAAAAAGAGAAAAATCTATACACAATAAATTGTATTTTCTTAAAATACTTAAAATGTACAATTTGATAAGTCTGACATTCATTTCAATTCATTCAGCCAGCACTGCTATTAAGGTAATAAATTTATCTGAGCATTATGGTGCACACTTGTAGTCCCAGCACTCTGGGAGGCTGAAGCAGGAGGATTGTAATCTCGAGCCCAGCCTGGGCAGTGTAGTGACTTACCAATCCTGTCTCAACAAAAAAATGTTTTTTAAAGAGAAATTTTGAAACGGGATAATTAGAGGGTAACAATGGTTAATACATTACTTGCTGTTATTTTTGGTTACTCAGAGTATGAGATACCTGCATTTAATCGTCCCAATAGTATTAACACAAACCTTTCTTTTCAATGAACTAAGAGAAATTAGTTTAACTATCATATATATACATATATATATATACATATATATATATATACACACACACACACACACACACACTTATATACATATGTATTTATATACATACATATTTATATACATACATTTCTTGGAGACAATACAATGTTTACACATGCAAGTCTGATTTATTTCACTTATAAGTATGGTCTCTAGTTGCATCCATTTACCTGTAAGTCTCAAGTTTGTCCTTTGTGACTGCTCCATTGTATAAAAATACCACATCTTTTTTATCCATCCCTCAGTTGATGGGCATTTAGGTTGTTTCCAAGATCTGGCTATTACATATTGTGCTGCTATAACTGTGGTATGATGTTTTTAATTCTTTTGGGAAGATACCCAGAAGGGGAATAGCTGGGTGGGATGGGACCCAGTCTTCCCATTTTAGTCTTAAGTTTTTGAGGAATCTCCATACTGATTTCCACAGTGGCTGCACCAGTTTACGCTCCCACCAACAGTGGAGAAGGGTTCCTTTTTCCCTAAAACCCCTTCAGCATTTGTTACTGGTTGATTTCTTGATAAATAGCCATTCTTTCAAAGGTGAGAGAGAATCTCAGAGTTGTTTTAATTTGCATCTCTCAGATGACCAATGGTACTGAACGTTTTTTCGCATATTTATTTGCTGTTTGTATTTCTTTATCTGAGAAGTATGTATTCATCTCAGATGCCCATTTTTGGATTGGGTCTTTAAATTTGGTAGGTCTTATTTTTTTGAGTTGCTCATCTGTTCTTGATAGTAATCCTTTGTATGAACAACAGCTGGCAAACATTTTTCCCCACATTGTGGGTTGTCTTTTCACTCTTTTGGTGACTTTTCTTGCTGTGCAAAAGCTTTCCAATAAGATGAGATCCCAGTTAGTGATTCTTTGTGATAGAGCCCGTGCCCTTGGGGTTTTAGTCATACAGTCTTTGCCTACACCAGTGTTTTCAAGAGTTTTTACCTTTTCTGTCTTCCAGCAGATTTAATATTTCTGTTTTAATATTCAGGTCTTTGATCCATTCTGAATTTGGTTTAGTGCATGGTGAAGCACTGTCTCAAAATTTAAAAAAAAATTGGAGATGTAGCTCCGTATGAAAGCCCTGGGTTCATCCTCAGTGCCCCCCACCAAGATAATAGACTTCCATCACCCCGAAAGTTTCCTTGTGTTCCTTTGTAGTCAGCCTTATCTTGCTCCACTATGCAGCCAGTGATCAGCTGGTTTCTGTCTCTACTTTATTATTTCTAGGATTTTATAGAGTTCAATACATAATATCATTTTGGGGTCTTATTTCTCGTACTTGTGTAATTTTTTAAAAATGTTTAAGACAGGATTTCACTTGTAGTTCAGGCTACCCTTGAACTATGGCAGTCCTCATGCCTCAGCCTCCCAAGTGCTGGGATTACAGAGTTAGATTACAGTTAGGACCCCAACACTCCCAACTATGCATAATTATTGTGATGATAAGCTTATATACTTGTGTTTCATAAATTGTACTTTTGGCATCATATCCAAGAAATCTTTGCCTGCCTTAAGGCCACAAAAATCTTCTCCTGTATTTTCTTCTAGTTTTATACTTTGATTTATGTCTAGGTGTATGATCCATTTTGAGGCAATCTTTTAATGTAATACAAATATTGATTTAGTTTTTTTTTTTTTTTTTTTGCAAATGGTTGTTCATTACAGAGCACCACATGTTGAAAGATTATCCTTGCTTCACTGAGAGCCTTTATACTTTTATTGAAAATAAGTTGTTCTTATATGTGTAGACCTGTTTCTGGACTTTTTATTCTGTTCCATTGATCGATTTAGCTCTTGACACCACTGCTATACTATCTTGATACTGCAGCTTTTCTAATAACCCTTGAAATAAGGTAGTGTTAGTGTTCCAACTTTTCCTTCTTCAAAGTCCCTTTTATTTCTATATGAATTTTAGAAACTTTTACAAAAACCAGAACTTTGAATAAAAATGTTGGACCTTCAATGCCTTTGCATTTCCATATAACTTTTAGAATCAGTTTGCCGATTTCTATAAAGAGATGAGAACTTTGAATAAAAATGTCAAATATTTATGTGATTTTTTGTTCTTAAACCTCTTTAGAGACACACATTCTCACACTCAGTGATATAGTTATTCCAGGTAGATCAAGTGTGATTGATAATACAAGAAAAATAAAGCTGCGGGACATCATTACACATGCCTATAATCCCAACACTTAGGAGGCTGAGGCAGAAGGATCTGTGAGACCAACCCGGACTATAAACTGAGTTCAAGGACAGCCTGAACTGCATAGCAAGACCCTGTCACAAGAATAAAACAGTAACAAAAATACCAGAATGCAACCAAGGGCACACCTAGCATTAGGTTGGGTCTCTTAGTAAAAGATGTTCAATAAACACTTGTCACATTGACAGCTTCCATTCCACGTGAACTTTTTGTTCTGGCTGTTTGGATTTTTTCCTTTTAGAACTTTTTTTTTTCCTTAAATACAATTTAGGGAATGTGAGAAATCATGTCAAACTTACAGAAATTAACCCCCCATCACGCTGCATTTGTATTTGTCTCAACAGCCAGGTAAAGGGAAGAAAGGCAAAGGCACAGGAAGGCCACACGGGAAGAAGCAGAAGAAGCCCGAGGTGGACATCCTGAGCCCGGCTGCCATGCTTAACCTGTACTACATCGCGCACAACGCAGCCGAGTGCCTGCACCTGCGAGGTTTCCGCTGGCCCGGTGCGCCCAAGGGGAAAAAGGGCAGGAACAAGACCTAGGAGGAGCGAGTTGAAGATAACAGGATGATGACTGCAAGCAAAATAGACTTTGCTGAAGAAATTTTGAAATGCAAGCTCAGTGTGCTTTTCAGTGGTAAATTAGGATTTAAAAATGCCTTTTACTTCTTCAGTTAACTCACGTATAACTAAGGAGAGTTTTTTTAAGGGTTAAGGGAAGTGAGTTTTGAGTAATCCCTACACTGTGTGGTGGAATTCATAGGACTTTTTAAAACTATCATCATAATTCTGTGTCAGAATTAAACGTTGCTCTGGCAAGGCAGTTCCAGTTTGCGCGAGTTGTTTTCTTTTGCAGAAGGGGTTTGTTATTGGAGAAGGCACAGCACATGCTTGGGCTTACCTTAAACAGCCCTCTCTTGGGTGCTGTTTTTTTGTTTTTGCTTTTCAAACCTTGGGCCTTGTGCATGCTAGGCAAGGCTTTCACCTTCCTTTGATTTGTTTTTTGAATGGAAAAAAATTTTTTGTTTCTTGAGATAAGATCTTGCTGAATAGTTCAAGATGGCCTTAAACTCACTATGTAACCCAAGCTGGTCTTGAACTCACAGCAATCTCCTTGCCTCAGCCTCCTAACTGCTGGGATTACAGCTGTGTACCACCACACGTGACCAGAAAGTATTTTCTCTCATTCTCTTTTTTTTTTAATTTTTGTTTTGTTTTGTTTTTTGGTACCAGGGATGTCATGACCCCACCCTTACCAGGCAAGTGCTTGAGCCCCTGTGTTAAATCCCTAGCTCCTGTCATTTTCTTTTAGCTCTTTGCTTAGACTTAGCTACAGACCATGGTGAAGACTTAGGAGTGTCACCAGTGTGGTGAGTCTGCTGGACACATCAGCAGGTAAGCAAAAGGACCTGTGTGGTGGTACATGCCTGTGTTCCCAGCACTCAGGAAGCTGGGGCAGGAGGATTGCTGTGAGTTCAAGGCCATCTTTGAGTTACATAGTGAATGCAAGCCAGCCTATACTAAAACCCTGTCTCAAAAGCCAAAATAAGTATATGTTCTCTTCCAGTCCAGTAGGCAGGACCAACTTGTGGCAATTGAGCACATGGAATGTGGCCGTGCTACTGGAGAACTGAACTGATTTAATTTGCTTGTAATTAATTTAAATTGGACGCCTTGGGGCCAGCCCTTGAGGTGTACAGGATCCCTTTCAGTGCGGAGAACCTCAGCAGCAGGGTTGTGGTTCTTCCTTTTTGTGCGGTGGTGGTGAGACCAGGGATTCTACAGGCTAGAGTATTTGGCCTTCCATCTCTACCCGTCACCCCTACAACTTGCTGTAGTTTTCTGCTTTCCCACAGCTTCAGCTCCATTTTATGGTTCTGTTTTTGGCTTGCTTTGAACTTCAGCTTCAAAGTGAGCTCTGTCTTTTTTGGGATATGACAGGAGGAAGGATCCCATGGACACCCCATTCTTGTGAGGCGCAGTTCTGTTGCAGCAGCAATGGGGTAGCAGTCCCAGTGCTTCCCACTCGCCCCCCAGCTGTGCTCCAGGGGTGGGATGGGTCAAGTATAACTGAACAGGGACATCCAGAGTGAGTCCTGTGGGCCTGGGAGTGTGGTGACGGTGTGGCCGTGGACACTCACGTTCATTTTGTGTGTCTCCTCTTCTAGCCAAGATCCTAGAAAAGATTCACTTCTGCTTTCAGTTTTATTTGCTTCCTCATTTTTCTGTCACACACATTTTTCTTCTGTCATTGATTTATTTATTTTAACAACTTAAAATATTTTGTTGCTTTCTTCCTGGCTTAGCCTATTGAGTGCTAGAATTCCCAGTGTGTGCCACAAGACCCAGCTTCCCATTTTGTGTTTCAAAAATTTTCAAACCTATAGCCAGGTGTGGTGGCTCACACCTGTAATCCGAGCACTCGGTAGGTTGAGGCAGGAGGATCGTTGTGAGTTTGAGAGCAGCCTGGGCTACAAAGTGAGCTCAAGGCCAGCCCGAACTGCATAGTAAGGCCCTGTCTTAAAAAGACAAAAAAAAAAAAAATTCAAATCTATAGAAAGTTTGAAACAAAATATAGTTAACACCCAGGCCCTTTGCCTCGAGTGGGGCTCCCAACCTTGGCCTTGATATTTTGGGCTAGATGGTCTCTCACTGGGGCTGCCCCTGCCCTGGGGTCCTGGGTGTCTGGCAACACCCTGCTGAGGTGCCTGTGCCGCCAGCCTCCCTCCCACCTGCCAGACACTGCAGCACACTCACTTAGCCATGACAGCCACATGTCTCTACTTTGCCAGATGTCCCCCATGAGACAAGAATCACCCCCACTCAAGAACCATTGACCTAGATTTGTAAATTAACATTCTGTTGCATTTGTCTCTGCACACTATATAGAATAATAATATGAATACATATTTATATACACACGAAGCATTTATATCAAGCCTGGGATGACAGGCATGCACCATCATGCCTGACCTACAATAAAATACTATCTGGTCTTAAAAATGAATGAAATTCTCCAGTAGGTTGTGGTGACCCACACCTGTAATCCCAGTGCCAGGAGGCTGAGCCAGGAGGATTGTCTGAAGTTCAAGGCCAGTTTGAACTAATAGTGAGACCCTGTCAAAAAAAACAAACCAAAATAAAAAATGGATGAAATTCTTGTGTTACAGCTTGAATGAGCCTCTTTAAAACATGCTAACTGAAATAACCCAGACACAAATGGAAAAGGCTTATAGATTGACTTGCATAAGTAATCTAAAACAGGTAGAGTCTCAGAGACAGACTCGCAATAAGCAGGGGCTGGGGAGGTGGACAGGAAGTTTCTGTCTACTGGGCAGAGTTTGAGTTTGGGAAGATACACAGGGCTGAGATGCACAATGTGAGTCTGTTACTGCCACTAGATGATGCCCTTCAAATGGCTAAAATGCTAAGATTTAGGTTGTCTATGTTTTACTCTAATCAAAATTGAAAATCCACACTTTGTTTTAGATCTCTAGCAGAGGTTGAAAGGGGATAGGCAACAGGTGCAGAAAAAGCGTCCCTGGATGGAAGAGCAACTTTGGGTGAAGGGGATCCTGAGGACAGAAGCCCACACCTCTCACACTGCACCCCGTGGCATCCTTGCAACCTGCAGGCCTGTTTCATGTCCTTGCCTCATAAAGCAAAGAAGCCAGGTCTCCTGCAAGATTCTGTCTCAAAAGAGAAAAATGTGCTGGACATGTAGGTTGGTGGCGCTGCATCCCCAGGTTTAATCCTCAATACTAGAGGCAAGTAATCCTTTTATAGGATTACTTTTCTTTTTCTTCCCCTTCTCCTCCTTTATCTATTCCTCTTCCTCCTCCTCCTCATTTTTTACTTAAATGGAGCATGCAGAAGTACACTACATTAAGCCAGGCATGCTAAATGCCTGTAATCACAGCATTTGGGAAGCTGAGGCAGGAGGATTGCTACAAGTTCAGGACCAGCCTGGTGTACAAAGTGAGACCCTGGCTAAAACAACAACAACAAAATAAGCATGCACTGTATTAATTTGCAGGATTTTCATCATCAGTAAAGCCTGTCTGTGTGCTGGAGTTTGGTTGTACCCATTGCCACTTCTCTCAGCTCTACAGAATGTCCGTTTACACAGCCTGGTCAAATGTTTTTAAAAATGCATCTGGGGCCCAGGGAAGTAGCTGGATAGGGTGTGTGCTTAGCATACACAAAGCCCTGGTTCAGTCTACAGTATGAAAACAAATACATGGGGTTGGGGGTTTAGCTCAGTGGCATAAGCACCTGCCTTGAAAGCAGGCAGTCGTGAGTTCGATCCCTGGTACCGATAAAAAGGAAAAAGACAAAAAAAAAAAGAAAACAAATACATAAGAGTGTGTGTGTGTGTGTGTGTGTGTGTGTGTGTGTGTACACGCGCTGCATGCTCACCTAAAAGAGGTGGGGGTGTGTTTTCCAAAGGACTGGGATTGATTTATGGGACCTTGCAGTATTGCAGTGACTCAGTTCTCATAGGGAGTCCTGGGTTTGTGTCTACCTGGATAGGTGAGCAGTGTGGCAGTAAAAACAGACAGCACCCAGTGACTGAACAGCTACACACAGAATGGGCAGCCATCTGCCACTTGAGTTTGCACAGATGTGCAAAGCCAGTCACTTAGTTGTGGCTTTATTGAAAGCAGATTTGTAGGCTTGGGAGTTAATTAAGTCATGGTTGCAAAGCAAGGCTCGCCCCTGCATAAATAGATGCATAACCTTGGGCTAAAGCTGTCTAATTTATCTGTGACTGTTTTCTCAATTGTAAAATTGAAGTGCCAAAAAAGACTTACCTGATAGGATATTATAAGAATTAAATGAGATAATAATGTGTTGGGGGGAGTGTGCTCCTATAATCCCAGCGCTAGGCTGAGACAGGAGGATTGCCACCAGGTTGAAGCCAACAAGGGCTACATACTGAGACCCTGTCTCAAAATAATAATAATAATAATAATGTCACCAGGATAGCCCAGTGCCTAGCACATGGTAACTATACAAGGCATCTTAGTGTGCAAATTAAAGAACATACCATTGCCACAGGCTGCCATTCAGATGGGGTTACACTCATGTTCCCTCATAAATCATGTGGAGTTAACTATTTAAATTGTCAGCTAAAACTTAATTCTTACATCAGAATAAAAAGCTTAAAGTCAAAATAGCTAACAAGCAGCACAGTGCAGGGAGTGCTGCAGGAACACGTTATGTCATTGAACTAAAGACCTTACAGTTTTCACAGCTGCCTTGAAGGAAGGATGGACACACAGACCTCGGGTCTGAAACAACAGGGACACCAGGTCGGGTGGCATCAGGATGGGGAAGTATCCTGGTTTTGTGGAGGGGTTAGCTGTGCTCAAAGATGAAGGTAGTAACCTGCATTCAAAACTAATGGTCCAAGGATCACATAAAGCAACTGAATCAATCAACTGACCAATCAATAAAGCATATATTCTTCAAAACAAAATTCAAACACCAGGTGAAACAAAGCCAGTGGTTTCCAGCTCCACCAGCGAGATTTGCCAGGGTCCTGGTGTTGAGCTCTCTGCCTGGCCAGGCTGTCCCCCAGGTTGTGGGTTTTGTTTTTCCCAAGGCACAAAGCACTGAATTCACTTTGTTTAAAACCACTCCTGTTCTCATGGTAACTGATGGTCCATTAGCACCAAAATACCTAAAAGACAACGAGGCAGCGTGAAAATGTTACTAGGACAACTGGAGTTTGTAGTGTACATTTTTAAAGGCATATGGGAAGGTTTGATTTTGCATTCTTCAAGAAAATCTAGGCAGGATAAGCCAAGCATTGTAAAC